CTGCATCTGGCTCAGGTGATCTCAGACAGCCTCTGTGTCTTTGTGCATCTCACAGGATTCATGGGACTAGACAGGCAAATCGACTCCTCCTACCATAGCCCTGTGACTATCCATGGGTCACTAAAATGCACATACTTAGATGCCCACATTCCAGTGACCATGAGAAGGACAGGGAGAGAGTCTCCTTACTGCCCTCCCCACTTGTCTTGAGATTCCCCTAAATCAGGAAAGGTATCAGAATGCCAAGGAAGCAAATATAACAGTCATCCTACGTTTAATCATATCCTATGCAACTAGTTGACTGGTTAAAGACTGGCCGATGACATCCATTCATTTGATCCCAAACGCAAATCACATCAGAATTATCATCAAGTACATGTCCATCTTCATCCTCCCTACTAATACCATCCCTGGCCCATACCCTCCTCCCCTCTCCTGAGCTACTTCCTCATTCCATCTCTCCATCAAACACTCACCTTCCTTCTCTTCCCTCTCCCAATTTTGGACACTACTCCTCTGCCATCTACAAAGGCAGAAGCAATCGCAAGGGATGGTGTGAGCTCTATCAGAACACCTGATTGTCCAAGAATACGGGGCTGGTGAGAGAGCTTCCTGGGGCTTGCTGCTCTGATCCTGCTCTGCGCTCCACCTCCCAACCTCCAACTCTTCCTTGAGGCCGCATGTCACAAAGTGTTCAGCCTAGAGGGGGCGTTGATTGTGGTTTCTTTTTCATTGCAGCACTGATGAGAAAACCCACTATTTGGCTCTGGGGGCTGTGAAGAATATCTCTTTAAACATCTCCATCTCCAACCTCGGGGACGATGCCTATGACACCAATGTGTCCTTCAACGTTTCCCGGGAGCTCTTCTTCATCAACATGTGGCAGAAGGTGAGTAAGGAGAGCACCCTTTATCCCGCCGACTGCACTTGCTAAGGGACTGTGATTGTCGGTTAGATATGCGAGGGCTCCTCAAAGACAATTCCTTTACATGGAGTCCTGTTTGGAATTATTTGAATATTTCCTCCTGGACTCAGAAAACATGTCAACACAACCAAGGAAGAAGCCATGTTACCGAGAGCCAGAGTGTCTGTGTTTCACGCTGCCTCCTTGACCTCTCCTTCTGCAGTTGCATGTCTGGCCTCGTCTCCTTGCTGGCAGATAGTCCGTCTCCAGCTCGCACACACTCTGCCAGCTGCCAGGCAGTGGCTGCGTAAACAAAGGCAGAAGTAAAGACAGGTCACTGCTGTTATCACCAAGCATGCACTTAAGATCCATTAGAGAGCCGTGTGCTTTGTCCATCCACCATCCTTGTAATTTAGTTATGATATATTTTGGTACATTGAGGGGTGATTATATGCATGGATTGCTTGAAATTCTTTAGCGAGAATACATATGTCTCTGAGTGAGATGAGTTAGGAGCGTAACTCGGAGACTGTGTGCCGAGCCTTCCCTTCAGATGTGAGGAAGCTGCGTGAGGGTTTGTCCACCAGCTCCAATGGCTCAGTCGCTGGGATTCTCTCTAGGGCAGCGGTTCTCAACCTGTGGGTCGCGACCCCTTTGGGTGTCAAACGACCCTTTCACAGGGGTCACCTAAGACACTCGGAAAACACATATTTCTGATGGCCTTAGGAACCGAGACAGCGCTCCTCTATCCATCTCCAAGTGGGTCTGCCCACATGCAGATACGCCCACCTATGACCCAGCGTGAAGACTGTTACCCATGCTACACCATGCGTCAAGACAAAATTTCATTTATTTGTAATTAGAAATAAATATTTCACGATATGTAATTACATATTGTTTTGGGGATAAATCACTATGCTTAAATTATGTTCAGTTTGTAACAACGAAAATACATCCTGCATATCAGATATTTATCTCCATTGCGATTCATAACAGTAGCAAAATTACAGTTATGAAGTAGCAATGGAAATAATGCTATGGTTGTGGGGGTCACCACAACATGAGGAACTGTATGAAAGGGTCGTGTCAGTAGGAAGGTTGAGAATCACTGGCCTAGAAGGTGACTGTGTGTGTGTGCAGGTGACCAGCCCTCTGGTCAGTCCTGGAAAACGTGGAGAAGGCACGTTTTTGTAGCATTTGCTACATTATCTTGCAATCTTCCTGGGGAAAATGCTCATTTATAAAGTTATTCAAGGACATACAAGTTATTAAATTTAAAAAGTACATAGTAAACAGGGAATTAAACAGAAGCCATTTTCTAAGTATTGAAAATAGTAACCCAATGTGAAGAAGCAGTTGCTACCACAGTAAACACCGAAGGAAGCCTACTGCCATCTCATCGATTCTGACTCCGGCAGCCCCACAGGGCAGAGTTGGAACTGCTCCGTAGGGTAAGCGAGGCTGTACATCTTCACGGGAGCAGACAGCCTGGTCCTTTCCCCTTGGCCCTGCTGGTGAGTTTCAACGCCCACCGTGCAGGTCAGATGCTTACCCACTGTGCTCCCGCCACTCCTTACTATAGCAAATGTAGCGTTTAAATGATTAGTCAGGAAACAAGTCTGTAATCTCCGCTATGCCAATAAAAAAAATGGAGAGAAAACAGATATTGTCACTCCTCCTGCTTCACAATCTTCCAATTACAGTTCAGGCCCCTCAGCTGTTCAAGCAGGCCATGCTGAGCCTGGCTCTCCCTGCCTCCTTTCTTCCCAGACAGGTGCTGCACTGTGCCTGCACAGCCACACGTGGAGTAAGCCGCCATTCATTAGCAAAGATGGCTTTAGCCTGGAACCCCACCCCCACCCCCACCCCTCACACACTTTCCCATTTTGCTTAATGAATGAATCTGCCCTCATCTCTAAGCTTGGATGTCACTGATACAGGCATCTTGCTGCATAGGATGTCTCGGATGGATGGATGGGTGGATGGGTGGATGGATGGATGGATGGATGGATGGATGGATGGATGGATGGATGGATGGATGGATGGGTGATTGGTCATCTTTCTTGTCCGAAGTCACAGGGCAATTCATGGCTCAGGCCTCCAAAGGACCCAGCATCTTCTGTTACTACCTAGTCAATTTATGGTAGCTGCTGACACTGCACACAAAAGTCCCCTAAGGTTGATTTTTCTATCTTTCAGTATATGAGTGTGCTTTCATTCATTGACTGTGGTCCTTCCTGTAAAGGGAGCTGTTTATAAAATGTGGGGCACACACGGACGGTTATCTGCCGATTCTCTCTGCCATAAAGAAAGCCAACCTGTCATAAATGGGACTTAATTTGCTGGTGTCTGTCCTGCTGCCTGGCGGCCATGTGCTGTTTGACTGGAGCCCCATCTATACTGGCCAACATCTGGGTTTTGGCAGTGGACAGGCCCAATGGATGCCCCCTGGTTCCTGCCACGCAGGATCTGGAGGTTTCCTTGGCAAGGCGTCACTACAGCGTGTGACGACGGTGGGCTCTCCGGCAGAGCCAGACATCTGCCTGAGCTGGTACGAGAAGAGAAAGCAAAAAGGAAGAGAAAAGCGCAGTTTGGAATTGAGTAGTACACGGCATCACACCGTGTCAGGGTTAGCACTCACACTGGAGTCTGTGCACGGAACTCCGCCGCCCCCAGCACAAGTCCACAAGATATAATGTGGGTGAGGGTTCTGGAGTTGGATGGCCACAGGGCCCTGGTGTCACAATAAAATCTAGTTTGACCTTTGCTGCAGGGGCTCCTAGCACAAAGGGCGTTGGCTTTTCTTGACTCTGGAACAGGGTTAGGTTGGTTTGAACAGCAGTTAATTGAGAACATGCTAAGTGCCAGCCCTTTGGACAGTGGTTCCCCACCTTCCTCATGCCGCCCGCAGCCCTTTCATACAGTTCCTCACGTGGTGGTGACCCCCAACCATCAAATGATTTTCTTTGTTACTTCATCACTGTCATTTTGCTATTGTTATGAATCGGGTGACCCTTGTGAATGGGTCATTCAACCTCCAAAGGGGTTGCGACCCACAGGTTGAGAACCGCTGGCCTAGAGGCTAGGGTAGAACTGCCCTTGTGGGTTTTCAAGGCTTTCGGTGTTTATGGGAGTAGAAAGCTTCATTGTTCTCTCACGGGGCGACTGGTGGTTTCCAACGGCTGACCTTATAACTAGCAGGCCAGCATGTAATCACAACACCGCCAGAGGTCCCTGTAGAGGAACAGTGGCAGTAAAGTTGTTTTTTTATTTTGAGTTCAGGTGTACGTCTCCATGGTTCTGCCCATAGGGCCTACCATCAGGTGCAGAGGTGCAGTCACTAGCAGTTGTAAATGGGCCGGAGCTCCCAGGAAAGTGCCGGTGATGTGGCTGGGACTCGGCACCATCAGCTAGAGGTGCCCCGTCGCCACATTCTAGGCCACTAGACCTTGTGAGAACTAGTGTTCCACACCTCTTCAGGGGCCGGACGAGGCAGGTGTTGTAGGGGGGTGGCGAGGGTCAGGTGTGGGGCGTGGGAAGCGGTGAAGAACGTGGAAGGCTGGTGGATTCCTGCCTCATCTACGTACTCGCTGCCATCGCGTCATGGCCACCACAGGGCAGGGCAGAACTGCCTCTGCGTTTCTGAGCCGGCACGTCTCTGTGGGAGCAGGAAGCCCATCTTCCTCCCAGCCTCAGCCACAGGCTTGCCAGCACCCGTCAACATCCGACTGTTGACTGGTGGGGACGAGGACCAGTGCAGCCAGGGTTCTTTTTCAATAAAAACCAGAAATCCACATTTTTATGTGAAATCTTGTGGCTCTGACAGCTAATTAAAATGTTTTCTGAACCTCGTCTGGCCCAAACAAAACATGTCCTCTGACCGCATCCAGCCTGGAGGCCAGTGACTGGTGGCCTCCAGCCGCAAGCTCCTTCCATATGTTCCAGCCCCGTTCCCTCCTGGCTTGTCGCGTGAGTCTGCATTTCGGATAGAGCTTTGTCTACATCCTTGACTGTTTCAGATCCTTCCCTCAGCAACAAATAAGCTAGCCGAGCAAGCTGGGGGTTGGGAACCTTAACGCGAGGTAGCAGTTACACTCTGGGTTGTGATCCGAAAGACCATAGTTCAAAAGCACCAGCCGCTCCATGCTGGAAAGATGAGGCTTTCAACTCCCACAAAGAGTTATTGTCTCAGAAACCCACTGGGGAACTTCTACCCTGTTCTGGAGACACCGTGATTCAGAATCGACTCGATGACAGTGAGTTGTTGGTTTTATGTGTTTGGAGAAAGTGGGGGGTGGGGGTGGGGTGGAGTAGTTCATCCCAAATGTCATGTACACTGACATTTTTTTAAAATTTATTATTATTATTTATTTGTTTAAATAATTTTATTGGGGGCTCATACAGCTCTGACCACAATCCTTACATCCATTCATTGTGTCAAGCACATTTATACATTTGTTGCCATCATCATTCTCAAAACATTTGCTCTCTACTCAAGCCCTTGGTATGAGCTCCTCATTTTTTTCCTCCTTCCCGGCTCCCCCCATCCACTGAAATTTTGTAGCAAATGTTTTAGGAAACTATTTGCAGGTCGAAATCATTGTACTTTTGGCTGATAGCAAAAAGCAGATCAGCTGGGGACTGGAATTTAGGAGCTGTGAGCAGCGAGGCAAGCTAATGGGCAGCTGGGTGGCAGGTATAGAAGGGAAATCTGGCTTTGGGGTGGTCAGCCTCGGAGTTCAGAGTCCAGCCCTGCTGCTTGGGATCAGTATGACCTTGGACGAGGCCATTTCTCCAGGCCTCCAGCTTCTTCCCTAGAAAATGGAATTGTGCTGAGGATGAAACAAGCTGGCTGCGTGGGCATGAGGAGCACCCACCCACGGTAGTGCCTACTCAGGGCAGGTACTCCTGCCACGCCAAGTCCACGCTGTATATGCTCAGAGGACGCATATTGCTCCTCTGTCCAGACCGAGATTCGGTGCTAA